AATCTATTAAGATTTCATGGTAGAAATCTGTGAGAAAAGTCTGTGAAACTCTGTAAGATTTCATGATGGAAATCTATGGCATATACAAGTACCACAATATCTAATTGTGAGACTGAGCAATATCCTCTGAAAACAGAACAATGCAGAAATATCTGTTCTTAACTCTTTGATTCGTCTTTGTGGAGGAGGCACTAGCCAGTGCAGTAGGGCCAGAATAAATAAATACATATGCAAATACTTGCAAAAATAAAAAAATTAAATTGAAAAATAAAAGCTATAAATTTGGAAATAAGTAAAAGCATCTTCTTTTGCAGATGACATAATGGTTTATATAGATATTCCTAAGACTGCTAAATCTAATAAGAAAAATTAACAGGATTGCAAGATCCAATTGTCAATATATGAAAAGAAATTTTATTTCTCTATCCATCCCAAAAGTTGGAAGGTATTTTTAATTACCAATTCCAAGAGCATCAACATTTATAAAATAATTAGGTATACATTTTATGAAAGATGTACAAGAACCTTGTACTAAAAACTACAAAATGTTGCTGAGAAAAAATTAAGGGGAACTAAATAAATTAAGAAATATAGCTATTTTTTTGGTAAGACTCCATATTGCTAATTGCTAAATGCATCTATAAAATCAATGCAAACCTAATTATAATCCCAGTGGGTGATTTTGTTAATTTGGCAAAGAGATTCTAAAATTTATATAGAAATGTAAAAGATCTAGGTTTTGACCTATTTTGAAACAATACTTTTAAACACTGAAAACAATATTCATTTTAAATAAGAAAATCTTTTCACCTCTCTAAAACTTGCCATTATTCTGTGTACTTATCAAGGTAGCGTGGCATTGGCACAGACATAGGTAAGTGAGTCTATGGGTCTGAGTAGAGAATTCAGAATAGACACATACCTGTACATGGTCAATTGATTTTTGTTTTTTGTGGGGGAAACATACTAAAATGTTTCAATGGGGGAAAAAAAAAGTCTGTTCAACAAGTGAATAATTGCATATACATATAGGACAAAAGATGAACTTCAACGTCTACCTGACTCATAATGTAAAATTTAAATGAAGAGAGACTTAGACTGAAACATGAGCGAAACCTAAAAAGCTTTACACACAAAATGTTAGAATATGTCTTTAGGACCTTAGGTTAGACAAATATTTCTTAGGACACAGAAACACTATCCAAGCAAAAATTTGATAAATTTGACTTCTCACTAGATATTTTTAAGAAAATTAACATGCATCTCCTTGCGTGCCATAAGGAGAATATATTCAGAATAAATGAAGAAACACTAAAACAATAATAAAGAAACAAACAAACCAATAATAAACTGCAACTAGGTATTTTAGTCAATATATGAATGAAAAAAAATGCTCAATATTATTAACCATCAGGGAAATACAAATTAAAAACCACAATGAGACACCAATGAACTTTTTAAGTGGCTAAAACAAATAAACAAACCATCTGACCGTCACTAGAAGCTGGCAAATGTACACAGCAACTGAAATTCTCTTATGTTACTGGAGGGAGTATTAAATTATGTAACTAGTTTGAAAACAGTTGGCACTTTCTTATAAAGTAGATCATTCACCAGTTCTGTGACCCTGCAACTCCACTTTTAGGTATTTATCCCAGAGTAAAATGTTCACATAATGAGTATTTAAGAATGTTCATAACCACTTTAATCATAAGAAAACATTTTAATGTGGTATATCCATTCAATGGCTTGTTGCTTAGCAATAAGAAGAACAAAGTGACAGATACCACAACATGGATATGTCTCAAAAATATCCACATACCTTGCCCTGTTTATCTCTTCCATTTGGCTGTTCCTGAGTTATATCCTCTTATAATAACTCAGTAATCTAGTAAATAAAATGTCTCTCTGAGTTCTGTGAGCCACTCCAGCAAATTAATCAAACCCAAGGCGGGGTCGTTGGAATTTCCTGTCTGTAGCTGGTGGGTCAGAAGCTCTTGGACTTGCTGTTGGACCTGAAGTTGGGGTGGAGGGGGCAGTCCTACAGATCTGGGCTCCTAACTTGGGGGATTTGATGCTGTCTCCTGCTAGATAGTGTCAGAATTGAGTTGAATTGTAGGACACCCAGCTGACATCAAAGAATTTTTGAAGATAGAAAACTTTCCCACACTCATATGTTGGAATTGAGTTCTAAACCCCTTAGTTAGAATTATGCACTTAACATGTGTGCATTTCAGTCTGTGTAAATTTGCATCTAAAAAATAAATACAAAAGTGTCATAAAACATCATTATCTAATTCCAAATAAGACACTTTTATAGACCATTCTAAAATTTAATAGTGTTGTCCATAAAGAAGGTAAGAGTAATACTTACACTCTATAGTTAATCTTAGATTTCAGATGGCTTTAAGTTAAGTTCAGTTCAGTCACTCAGCTGTGTCTGACTCTTTTTGACCCTATGAACCACAGCACACCAGGCCTCCCTGTCCATCACTAACTCCCGCAGTTTACCCAAACCCATGTCCATTGAGTTGGTGATGCCATCCAACCATCTCATCCTCTGTCGTCCCCTTCTCCTCCCACCTTCAATCTTTCCCAGCATCAGGGTCTTTTCAAATGAGTCAGCTCTTCGCATCAGGTGGCCAAAGTATTGGAGTTTCAGCTTCAGCATCTGTCCTTCCAATGAACACCCAGGACTGATCTCCTTTAGGATGGACTGGTTGGATCTCCTTGCAGTCCAAGGGACTCTCAAGAGTCTTCTCCAACACCACAGTTCAAAGGCATCAATTCTTCTGCATTCAGCTTTCTTTATAGTCCAACTCTCACATCCATACATGACCACTGGAAAAACCATAGCCTTGACTAGACAGACCTTTGTTGGCAAAGTAATGTCTCTGCTTTTTAATATGCTGTCTAGGTTGGTCATAACTTTCCTTCCAAGGAGTAAGTGTCTTTTAATTTCATGGCTACAATCACCTCAGATGGCTTTAGAGTTCACATATTCTGTTAAAAGGGCAAGCTTTACACTCAGGGTTAGTTATTCTTTCCATTTGTTTTCACCAGGAAAATATAGAACAAGCTGCTGTTGAAGTTCATTCTATTTATCCTATATTCTCTAAGAAAAGTGAAATAAAACATTTCTAATATGGTGCATTTAATAGAAATGCTAATAGACATATCTTAACAAAATGTTTTAAATAAATATTTACCCATAAATATTATATACATAAGAAAGAGTTATTTTGTGTGTGTGCGTGTGTGTTAGTTACTCAGTTCTATCCAACTCTCTGTGATCCCCCTGCCAGGCTCCTCTGTCCATGGGATTCTCCAGGCCAGAATACTGGAATGGGTTGCCATTCCCTCCTTCAGGGGATCTTCCCAACCCAGGGACTAAACCCATGTCTCCTGCATGGCAGGCAGATTCTTTCTATCTGAGCCAGCAGGGAAGCCCCAAGAGTTATTTTACCGAAGTTAATTTTCATGGTAACATCACGCTAACCCTTAAATGTGCCAAAATGTTTTTATTAATGCTTTATGCCAGTCACAGTAAGTGCCATGAGATAACCTCGGTGTTTCATTGACCAATAACACTGTAAACTTGTAATATTACCTTCTCCAGCTCTCGTTGGAAACAGATGCCCTCAAGCTTTACAGAAGCTGAATTCATGACTCTGAGCCGGTTCTCAATATCTGCTTATCTACCTGTCTAAGTGGTTAGTAACTTAACTCCAAGCAAAATGAGTTAATCAGACTTAGGAGTATTATCAAGTATGTATAGATTTTTGTTTGCCAAGGTCCATGGGCATCGAAAGAGAGTTGTGTTCTTGCCTCTTTGAAAAGCAGAGAGTTAGGTTTATCAATTCAGAAGGGCCTGTGTTTCCACTCTCTAAATAAGAGACTGTTAACAAATGTCATATCATTGTGGCAAAAAACTTTCTTACAATGCCAGATTCCTTTGTTTAATTCTCTTGTACCTTAAATAGACTGGTACATTTAAGCACTCAAAATCAAATCATTGGAAGATGTTACATAAAAGTCCCTTGGTGCGTTCCCCTCCCTTCTTGTTAGAATGTCAGCACCCAAGTCTCACCTTGGAGAGCGTATTGTTTGCTGGATGAGTAATCTGAGCCAGTGAAGGATGCTTTCCCTCATTCCTGCCTCCGTCATAGAGGATGAAGCCATGTTCCCTCAGAATTCAGTACCTGGAGTTTTAAAAACGATGTTTTCCTTTATGAAGTCAAACAGTCGCAAGTTACTGATTTTCCAGGTTCAAATTACGACCCTCAGTAAACCTGTATGTCATTCCTGAGAGGGCAAAACCTGTTTTCTTTTTCCCAAATGATGACAAGAAAACTCTACTGAATACCAGGGAAGGCAGAATTAATCAAATGTTGGTAGCACTGAAAAAGGAAAAAGAAAAGAAAAACAAACCGTTATTAATTATTGAGCATTTTACATGCACTACCTCATCTGTCTTTTCATTGGTAGTGGAAATATTGCCATTATCACAGATAATTGTGGCTCAGTTCAGTTCAGTTCAGTTCAGTTGCTCAGTCGTGACCGACTCTTTGCGAGCCCACGAATCGCAGCACGCCAGGCCTCCGTGTCCATCACCAACTCCCGGAGTCTACTCAAACTCATGTCCATCGAGTCCATGATGCCACACCGACCTCCAGTAGCATACTGGGCACCTACCGACCTGGGGAGTTCCTCTTTCAGTGTCCTATCTTTTTGCCTTTTCATACGGTTCATGGGTTCTCAAGGCAAGAAGCCTGAAGTGGTCTGCCAGTCCCTTCTCCAGCGGACCGCATTCTGTCAGGCCTCTCCACCATGACCCTGCCGTCCTGGGTGGCCCCACACGGCGTGGCTCAGTTTCACTGAGTCAGACACGGCTGTGGTCCTGTGATCAGCCTGGCTCGTCTTCTGCGATTATGGTCTCAGTGCGTCCGCCCTCAGACGCCCCCTCGCAACAGCTCCCGTCTTACTTGGGTTCCTCTCACCTTGGACGCGGGGTGCCTCTTCACGGCCGCTCCAGCGAAGCGCAGCCGCTGCTGCTCACCTTGGCGAGGGGCATCTTCTCGCGGCCGCGCCTCCTGACCCTGAGCGGGGAGCGGCTGCGCTCGGCCCTCCCGCGCAGCCGCCGCTCCCTGGTCTCGGGTCGCTCCTCCCGGCCACGCGGTGCGGCGGCTCAGGGAGGTGATACTAACGGTTTCACGGTAGCTCAGTGGCGAAGAGTCTGCCTCCCAGTGGAGACACATGTTCTGTCCCTGGGTTGGGAAGATATGGAACCCACTCCAGTGCCCCTTACTGAGAAGAACCATGCACAGAGGGGCCTGGCGGGCTGCAGTCCGTGGGGCCGCAAAGAGCCGGACACAGCTGAGCACATAGGGAGATAGTATCACAAAATCGCGCAGATGCTAAGAGGTACGTTGGGGGGTTTTTTGGCCACGCCTCAGAGCATTTGCAGTCTTAGCTCCACACCAGGGGTCAAACCCATGTGCCCTGCACTGGAAGTATGGAGTGTTAACCACGGCATCACCAGGGAAGTCCCTGAAATTGGGATTTAAACTTAATTCATTTTTGACTCCATATCCCTTATGTGTGAACATTTAGTCATTTGAAGGATTTCCTCAACACTCACTTCTTTGCTCTTTTCTCATAAACTTTCTAATTCTTCCTCCCAGAAAGTTCTTCTTAAATAGGGAAGGGAAAAACAGCATGCACCCCCAGGAACCAACGTTGTCGGGCCCTGTGTTCCCTCCCGTGGTTCCGCCCCCTCCCCGCTTTGTCCCCTGGACTTCCGTTCCATGGGCTGAAAGCTCCTGCTGATGAGATGGAAGCTGTTAAGAGTGGAATTCAACATCGCACTCTAGTTCTTCACACTGGGTGCTTGAACAGCAAGACCCCAGTCTTTTCCCTGTGTTTCCCATCTGCTTTCGTGGGTGATCTCGTTCACGCCACGGGCTGAACGGTGCCATCTGTGTTGCTTGTTTTTGAATCTCACTTCCCAGCCCATGGATCTTCACTGTGCTCCAAATTCTTGAGTTCAACTAATTCTTCACTTAGAACTTTCACTGGCACCTAGAATTCAACAAATCCAAAGCCAAACTCAGTCACCTCTCTGCAAAATAAACATCACAAATGTGATAAAGTGAAAGTGAAAGCCACTCAGTCGTGTCCGAGTCTTTGTGGCCCCATGGACTATGCAGTCCATGGAATTCTCCAGGCCAGGATACTGGAGTGGGTTGCCTGTCCCAGGGCTCCTGCATTGCAGGCGGATCCTTTACCAGCTGAGCCACAGGGAAGCCCAAGAATACTGGGGTGGTAGCCTATCCCTTCTCCAGGGGATCTTCCCAACCAGGAATTGAACAGGGCGTCCCCCGCATTGCAGGTGGATTCTTTACCAGCTGAGCTGTCAGGGAAGCCCAAGGAAGGGATGAAAAGCAGATACGGAAGGAGGGAAGCAGCAGTGTCACATTCTGGGCTCCACTTTCCATGGACGGGACCAGCCACCCAGGGACCAGCTAGGCGCCCGAGTCCCACCTTTGATCACTCTTCATTTCACGCAGCCAGTCTCCAGGACTCCCTGACTTTACGGTCTGTGTATTTCTCAAATAGCCATCCTTTTGGCCGCTAATGCTATTCACTCTCTGACATCTGTTTTCAGGGATCAACCCACTAGTTCTCTAAAGGGGCTCCTAGTTTTCAATGTCCGCTCCTTCAGCCCAGACTGCATGCTGTCACAGGAGTGTGCTGTCTCCCCGTCGTGTCCGACTCTGTGACCGCACAGACTGTAGCCCCGCCAGTATCCTCTGTCCATGGGATTTTCTAGGTGTGAGTATTGGAGGAGGTCACCATTTCCTCCTCCAGGGGATCTTCCCAACCCAGGGATTGAACGTGTGTCTCCTGTGTCTCTGTCATTGGCAGGCGGGTTCTTTGCCAGCTGAGCCGGGGACGTCATAGGAGGTAAAGATTTAGCGATGAAAACCTGAACATGCCGCTCCCTGCTCCTGCTGCGGTACCACAGGATGTAAGGCCCAGGTTTGATCCTGGCTCTGTCATTATGACCTTTGGAGAGTTATGTAACCTCTCTATGCATCAAGTTTCTTTTTTGTAAAATAAGGATAAACTTATGGGGTTATTATGAGATTAACTGCATGAAAAGCATACTCTGTAAATGCTATTTAAATATCGATTTCTTTAATTTTTTTCTTATTATTGTTTAAACACTTCAATAAAGCCCCAAACTCCATTACAAGACTTCCCAGGTTTTTGTGTGTGTGTTCTGACCACCATGGAACTCAATGGCCTAATTCCTCAACACCTTCCACCTCTACTGCAGAAGCTCTGGCTATAAATTTCTTTCACTTTTTCCAGTGTATCTTGCTTTCTTTTATCTCTGGCTAGTCCTTATGTCTGGAATATGTTTTCCTAAGCTCCCCCCTCCCCGTCTCTCTTTAAGTCTCAGCATAGGTATTTCTTCTTCATGGAAGCTTTTCTTGGACCCCCTCACCTGGTTAGGTGCTCTTCCGCAGCGACGCCATGACATCCTATATGTGCAGCATCTACACTGACCATATCTCTCCAGAATGTTGTGACTGATCATCTGCACGTCTGTCCTCACCACTGAATAGGCTGACACCATGAGGGCAAGCCCCCATCTGCTTTGTTTCCTGTGACATGGTGTCCCGTGCAACGAATGTTCTTAATATTTACTGAGTGTGTTAAATGAATGGGCTTTGTGAATTTTGTTGATGCACAAATGTTCAAAATCAAATATTCCCCCTACTATGACCAGTTTCTAATGGAAAATATAAAGAAAATAAATAAATTATTTAATACTGAAGTTGGTAGAGACATTAATTTGCCAACAAAGGTCCGTCTAGTCAAAGCTATGGTTTTCTCAGTAGTCATGTATGGATGTGAGAGTTAGACTAGAAAGAAAGCTGAGCACCAAAGAATTGATGCTTTGGAACTGGTGTTGGAGAAGACTCTTGAGAGTCCCTTGGACAGCAAGAAGATCCAACCAGTCCATTCTAAAGAAACCAGTCCTTAATATTTATTGGAAGGACTGATGCTGAAGCTGAAACTCCAATACTTTGGCCACCTGATGTGCATAACTGACTCATTGGAAAAGACCCTGATGGTGGGAAAGATTGAAGCAGGAGGAGAAGGGGACGACAGAGGATGAGATGGTTGGATGGTATCACTGACTCAATGGAGGAGAGTTTGAGCAAGCTCTGGGAGTTGGTGAAAGACAGGGAAGCCTGGCGTGCTGCAGTCCATGGGGTCACAAAGAGTGAGACACGACTGAGTAACTGAATTGAACTGAACTGAAAGTTGGTAGATTGGATTGTGGAGAAGGAAAGTCTCCTTGACTCCCAACAATTTGCTATTTTTGGCTACAGTTTCTAAACTCATCAGTGAAAAATCAGTGAGGGTCATAATTTTGATTTGATTTTTCTCCCACTGTCACTGGGTAATCACTCTACTGATTTCTCCAAACTTAATAAAAATTACTGTCTTTCATAACCATAATAGTGTAGATTATCACAGTCTCAAGACCCAAAGATTAATGAAGAATTATAATTTGAAGAGCTATGATTTATTAGTTATATGAATTTTATTTAAATCAACAAGAGAATATAAGCTTCCTCTTAAATTCATTTACAATTCCAAAGAAATTTCCACAGATATGTGTGTGGTACAGTCATAACCACTTAATTATGCTCCCAGTATATTAAAACCACTTTTAATGTTTGCCTGAATCATTTTTTTCTTGAATTGCCAGTGATGATACAAACACAGTACAGCATTATATTTGGATGTGAAGGAAGCATTCTTCAATAATCCCAAAGGTAGTGAATTGAACTACTAAAAAGTATGATAAGTAATAGGAAAAGTACAATAAGAAATAAACTATAGCAACATTTTCTAAGGTAACTTTCAAGATACTAAATTGCTACAAATATTTTTTTTCCAAAACAAAAGAAAATAAAAAGAATGGAATTGGATAAGAACTTTACAAAATATGATTTTCTCAAAAAGAGGAACATTTTAAATGCAAACAAGATTGCCTTGCAGTCTCCACACTATCTGGAAAAATAAGTGAGGGGCAACTGTAGTAACTTCTCTAACCAATCTCCCCTTTTCTGTCAATTGAATGGACACTTTAAAATAAAAGCCCTGAAATAACAAACCAGATTTTCCTTTCTTCTCTACTATCCCTGAGGCCATTTTAATCCTTTACATGATAAAAATAACTCCCAAAATAGGTAAGAATTTTCTGAGGGAAAGCAGTATTTCAATTTTCTTCATTCAATGTCTGCCTTCTCCATATCATCTGAATTCTAATTCTACAAAGTTCCTTTATGTCTTTCCTTACGACAATACAATAGTAGTTTAATAACTTCCTTCCTCCCTCCCCCATCCCCTCCCTCCTTCCCTCCTGTCTTCCTTCCTTTGAATCTTTAGCACAAGCTTGTTTTGTGCTACCAATTTGTTTATGACCCTTAATTTCCCCTTAACGAATCATGGCTCACACCCTGAGAGCCTGGGGTTGGGGGGAGGGGGAGTGATATTTCTCTCCATCTGCTGTTTGTCATGTTAAATTTAGATCTCTCTGGCAGTGCCCAGATTTGATAATGATAGGTGAGGGCGTGTTATATATGTGCTAACAGAAAGGTATTTTATAATTCCTGCATGCAGTGAGTAATTTTCAACCCACTGCAGTCTTTCCTGCTTGCAGTAAACCTTAAGTACAAAACACTCAGTCAGAATTACTAATGAAATAACCTTTTCAAGTGATGCCTTTTTTCTTTTCCTAGCATCATTTGCAGCATGATGCCCAGTGAGGTAGAACTTTAATTTCTAAGTGTGTATTTAAATAAGAGAGCTGACACTTAAAAATTGCTCGCTTCGTTCCATTTCTGAAAATAGTGTTGTCCATTTATGTTGGGGTATTGTTTGTTGTTTAGAAACTACATCATGTCTGACTCTTTGTGACCCCATGGACTGTAACCTGCCAGGCTCCTCTCGCTATAGGATTGCCCAAGCAAGAATACTGGAGGGGTTGTCATTTCCTTCTCCAGGGGGTCTTTCCAACCCAGGGATTGAACCTGTGTCTCCTGCGTTGGCAGGCAGATTCTTTAGCACTGAGCCACCCAAAGTTTCTCTTTATCCCACCTCATGGTTTGGTGAGAAAGTGGACATGTCTGCACGTGGAGCTCAGAGGCCTGCTGGGAATGAAAGGATAATG